AGGGTTCTGCCAATCAGGTATTCAATTGGAGATATAATATTGACAATTAATTCTACAAATTTGAACCTGGGTAGAGTCAAGAATGGGGTTAGAAATCTAAAAGTCATCATTCTTTTTGCTATTCACAACTATGAAAGTAAGAGACCTCCTCCAGAGAGAACACGGGTAGAGCACAGGGCGGAATCAAGGCTGGGATATCCTAAAAGTGCCTGAAATTCTTCGGATATAAATTCCTACACCAAAAATAATGTATATTCTAACAGGCTTACCTTTCCATCTTTCTGTTGTAATGTTAAATTAAAATATTGGCTGGATGGACAAAAAGAGTATGCTTTTTAAATAAATTCAATTTAACATTTGAGATTAAAAGTATGTTTACAATTACAAATATTTATTGTGGACACACACACACACACACACACGCGTGCACACACACAAATGAAGCAGTTTCTTTTGATTAATCTTGAAATGCCCTAGTCCTGGATGACTGAACAAAAGCAGTTAGTTACGAGTTATACGACTTTACTGAGCTGTACTTTCTCCATGTCTTACTTTTCTGGTAGGTAAAAAGGAGCTAATATTATCTACATCAGAGTAGTCATATTAAATGAAATAATAAATATCAACATTAGACATAAATTTTATAATAAAATCTACATTTGTTAAGAAACAGCAAGTGCTGGGCAAGTGTTAAGAACACTTGAATTCTGAGTCCTTACAACCTAAAGTTACCAGCAGGATTCTCAATGCCTAAACGGAAGCCAGGAGAAGGGATTTCCTCAAATCCTAATGTGCAACTTTGGTGGTTATAGCTAACAATAACTAGTGGCCACAGAACCTTCTTTCTTCCTGGAGATACTGTAAATAATTTTTTGTTTGGTTTTTTGTTTGGTTGGTTGGTTTTGGGGGGGTTTTTTGTTTCGTTTTTTAAAACATACACGAGTCGAATTCTTACTGACACCTTTTCTGTTACCTACATATTTACCTGTAAAGTTCTGGCTTTTATGTATTTTTCTTTATGCCACGTTGGCATGACTAGTTTATCTGGCGACTCGGTGGTACAGAGGACACAGCTAGCCATGACAGGAGGTGGAAAGTGCAGCTTAAATTCAGTAGGAACTTGGGAGCACACGAGGATACTTTACCGTGTGAAGAAATATAGGATGCGCCCACAAATCAGACAGTGCTCAGCTAACAACAATAACAACTAGCAGATGTGAGTTACTTCGTGCCATGGGCTTTCATCTGGAAATGGAGACGTTCTGTCCGCTGTCCCCGTCCCCTGTCCCCGGTCTTCGCTGTCCGCTCTCGCGCCTCAGCTCCTCTCCGGCGCGGGGCTCTCTCCTCCCGCCCTAGACCCTCTCGGAGGGCAGGCGCTTTCCCACAGGCTGCCGCCCACCTGACGCTCCAGTCTTCAATGGGGACAGCGCCTAGAGGGCCCCTTCGAGTCTCGGGGCTCCTGCGTCTCCCCTCAGCTGCCCGCGGGTCCCTTCGCGGTGTGGGGCAGGGAGAGGCAGTGGTGTGCGGGACACAACCCCTGGCCCTCCCCGGCCCGGTTACCTTGTCATTGTCCAGACGCGTCTCCAAGATCTTATGCAGCTTGCGCGACAGCGGGTTGTTGGGCTGCGCCGAGGTCCCGCCTGCCCCATTGCTGAGGCCATTGGCGGCCCCAGAGGCCGGTACGGCGACCACTTCCCCGCAGCCCTCGGCCATTGCGCCGCCGGTCCCGCCCCCGATGGAGGGGCTTACGACTCAGCTCTGCAAAGACCTCACCCGCAGCGCGACAACTGCGCATGTGCACCTGAGGACGCGCAAGCGCGCCGAAGCCGGAAGAGTGTGTCCAGCCGCTGCCAGCTTTCTGCAACAACCCAGAGCGGAAAAAGAGCGGAAAGGTCGGGGAGCGGAGCAACCTAATTGGACTATGAAGTAAATGTACGGCACTAAAAAAGGACCTAGGAAGAAGCCTGAACTAATTAGATATGTAAAATACACTGAAACCTATGTCTGCCATACGTCTATAAGAGTTGATTCTAATTAAATTCACGTTACCTATCTTTCTGAAAAGTATTTATTGTAGGCATAGTAAGTGGAAAGTACTGTGGAAGGTACTGGAAAATCTACATTCTGTGTCCTAGACAGAGGCTCTAATAAATGTTAGACTGCGGTGCATAAGGAAATGGAAGTACAGTGGAAGAGAACGAAAGGAGAGGACCACTTCACTCTACAGAGTTGGAAAGGAGCTGGCCCCTAAACTTATTTAAGGAGCATCAGAAACACGAGAAGTCACCTCTGCATTGGAGAAAGGCCCAACTGTGAATGATCAAACACAAAGAACTTGGCTCTTTTACAAATGGACCAAAGCCCTTGTAGCTGCAAAATACTGGACAAGAAAATGAGTAATAAAAGATGAGAATAAATTCCCAGGAAACTCATGAAGACAAATATCATTATTTCTTTCTGTTCTCACTTTTTAAAAATAATTTTTTAATCAAGCTAAAAAGAATCTGAACCTTCTGTAAGATATTTGAAACACTAATGATTTCACTCTTGTCCTTAATTTTCCTTGTTTTCATAAATATCAGACTTAAAAGGAAATTGTTGATTATACAGGTCACATAAAGTACCGACAGAATCACTCACTAATCTAAGAGAAGGAGCAACTAACAAAAAGGAAAGAAGTCACATTAGCCAAGTAGGAATTCAATAGGAAATATAAGAGACCTAGTTGGAGAAAATTTTACAAGTGCTATTGAAGGAATATAAAATTTAAGTAAATAATTCGTTGTCTTCAACAAGAAGACTCAATATAGTAAAATACCATTTTTTTCATATATAAATTTAGTTTCAGTGTGACAAAAAATTGATATATCAAAGGTGTACATAAATTCACACACTAAAATGAATCTTGACTATATAAAACAACATCTTATAAAGCTTGCAAATATGTACAAGTAAAAGAAATAACAATAACACACAAAATAAGGATAGATCACCAAAAATCACATTGTATGAGTTCTTTATTCAAAATCTACCAAATAGGTAAATCTATAGAGACAGAAAATAGATTTGTGGTTCCAGGAGGAGTAGTGTTGAGAAGAGAGAATGTCAAGTCCATTGCTGTAAAAGAAATCGTCGGAAAACTAGAGAGGACAAAGAAAAACTTACATTGCTTGTAAGTGACACAACTATGTCCCTAGAAAATCCAAAAGGACCTACAGAAAAAAATTAAATTTAATAATTAATGACTTTTTCGCAAAATTTTATCAAAACCCCTAAAGAATCAGGCATTTACTATCTTGTGAAAGACATGGTATAACTCTTTGATGCCTGGTTGCAAATATGTGTTTTATGTTGGTCAAGTCTTGCTTTATCAGTTACCTTTGGAGAGCTTATAAAGGTGATCAGAAATCCAACCTTGGAAAAAGATATAGGAAAGAATGACTTTGCAGCTGAAATTTATTTCACCTTTCAAAAGGTATTTAATTCCAATATTATTTAAGTAATTTTGCAATTTGAGATTTCTAATTGAAACTTTTCAATTTTCTAATTGAGATTTCAATTTTTGAGTTGGACCCATCAGAAACTACTATATTTCTAAAATCTGCTAAATGTCCCTGAGGAATAAAATTATCCTTGGTTGAAAACCACTATTCTAAGACTTAAGTGTATTAGTTCTTGAACGCTGCTTAAAATTTTACCCCCAAACTTGGGTTTTAAAAGAAAAAGTCATCATAGTTTCTGTGGGCCAGGGATGTGAGGATGGATTGACTAGGCTGTTTAGGCTCAAGGTATTATGAAGTTGCAGTCATCTGTCAGCTAGGACTGCAATCATCTGAAAGCTTCACTGCATAGTGCTGGAGGATGTGCTTACAAGTGACTCACTGTCATGGCTGGCAGGCTGGTTCTACATGTTTGCAGAAGGCTCGGTTCCTCCCCAAATGGGTCTCTCCACAGAGCTGTTTGAGGGCTCTCATAACATGGCCCTCTTAGTGTTAAGTACGTACTATGTACATAATGCAAAAATGTGCCAAAATATATGGGCAAAGATATTCCTCATATGTTTTGTAATAGAAAAAAAGAAAGGGAAAGAAAGGGAGAAGGGAGAGAGGAAAGCAGGGAGTGAGAGAGGGAGGTAGGCAGAGACTGAGAGGAAAGACTGGGAGAGAGAAATGGTGGAGGGAGACAAAGTGTTTGTCAATAGAAGACTGAAATTATGATGTATTCATTCATTTAGTAGAATACTATGTGACTGCTATCTGCTGTGAAGGAGATTTAAATGTGAAAAGAATTCCAAAATGAGTAGCATGTAAAAAAAAAAAAAAGATGCATTACAGTGTGTAGTGAAATTATGTAGGCTTTTCTTTAAAAATGACATTCCAGTGGGTGGGAGTTTTCTATTTTTCATTTTATACCTTTCTAACCTGAAATTTTCTAATATTACCCATGTACTGTAAGGCAGGGTAATTATGATCCATTTTTCTTTGGCTATATGTATTTCTCTGAGTGTGTGATATAGGAAGCATAATGACAAGGAAATTACATATTCAAGTCATTTGCACATTTTAATGTTTACTTAAATATATTTTATGAGGCTAAATATAAATTGTTTAAAAATCAATATTTGTGAACAGTTAAATTAAATATTCAAGTGTGTCACCAGTGACTTAATTTTTTAAATAAATTTTTTCTTTTACTGAAAATATTTAAAATAATTTTATATTTTGAGCTAATGTACTAGAACACTAAAAAAAATTGAAAGAAAGGCTCATACCTAAATATTTTAATTTAATTGGAGAACAAATACATGCATGTAAAAGGGCACAGGATTTTTACCTAATTACAGAAGAATAACATTATTCCACTCACACCAGTGATTTCATACACAAGAGGCCTACAAGGCACAGCTTCCAATGCTATCCCTGGAAACTCTAGGTTGCTTAAAACTTTACCACCTCCTGAAGAATTCTCTGGTGTCTACACTATTTGTGTTAATTTCTTGATTCAAGTTCTAGGACAGATGCTTTTCTTCTTCTTTTTTTTTTTTTTTTGGTACTGGGGATCGAACTTGGGTCCTTGCGCTTGCGCAGCAGGCGGCGAAACCACTGAGCTAAATCCCCAGCCTGGACAGATGCTTTTCAATGACAGAATTTAAGTAATAGGTTTCTGCCGGCTGTCAGGATCAAATGTGTTTGTCTGAGAAATTGAGAAAGTAGAAAAGTGCCAGTACTGAAAGAGAATTCATATACTGTCCAAGATCCATTCTCACTAAAAAAAAAAAGAAAAAGAAAAATGAGTGAATGATTAGATAAATAGACAGACTAGACAGACAGACAGGTAGGCAGATAGATGTCTAATGTCCACCACATCTTATTCACTAGCTAGGCAATATCAACACATCCTTTCCCCATGCTGAAAGAATATTTTTACTTAAAATAATGCAATTTATTCACAACATAGCCAAACCCTTAGTCATCATATCCCCCAGATAATAAGCCAAAGTCTAATCTGTTTTTCTATTCAGTTCAAAGTCAGATTTGTATTCGGTTAGTTTATACCCTTTCCTCAATATCATTTAACTAAACATTAAAGTGACAACCAACCATCAAGCCTATAGAAGTTATATGTCAAATTATGGTAGTATATAAGGTATTTAATAAGAGAACAGTGGCAGAAAATCAAACAAATTCAAGTATGACTGTAGTTCAAAAGAAAAAAAAATATTTCTTCCTCTACGAGGGAAAGATTCTAATTATCCCAAGGCTGGTAGTCCTCTTAAGGTATACCAGAGGCTCAGGTTTGGCTGCACCTGGAAAGTTGGGCACTCAGCAGAAGTGGTAGCCAAGTGAAAGGAAAGGTGTATTGTTGATTCAATGTCCTTGCCGCTATTTTACTTTGTTCATAGATCCACCAGAGCAAAGTTGAGGGTGGGTAGAAAGAAGGATGACTGACATCCATAGAGTTGGCCACTTTGTTTATCTGGTTATTAAGAGCATTGCCTGTGGTTCTTTGGTATACATGCATTCTTGTGACTCAAAAACAACAATACCCTGGACCCCAAGTGATACAGTCACAGTATTTCTTCTCCAAGCCTTCTTGCCACTAGTCCTCCAACTTTGTTCCAAGTAGGTCCTTGACCATCAGCTGGTCCATTACCACTGCTGTAGGTTTTTAGCTCAGTACTTGACTCCCAGGCAAATTGGGCAGTAAAATGCACCATATGAAGATTTCCCTTCCCACTGTCCTTCAGAGAGTCACACATAAATCAGGCCAACATCTATAGCAGATCATTTTCATCTGTTACCAGAATTTCAAACAGTTGTAAACTAGCTTCAAATATTCTCTTCTCTATGTAATTAACCATAGAGAACTTCCTGTGAGGCCAGTATGTGGTTTGAGGTAGGGATGATAGTAGAGTCAAAAAGGACCTTGGTGGACTGTCCATTTATTTTGATTCTGTGTACTTCTGGATACTTATCATATTTATATTATAGCATCGGCCATGCTACCCACTAGGGTAATCAAATGCACCTTGCCTCTAGCATTTAAGTAGAAGGTAAGCCACTTACCTTCCACTCACCATGATTTTACCATCTTGTTTGAAACTAAGGAGACTATTTCAACTATAGTATATCCCATCAGTATTCACAACCTAAATAAAGGTACCACTACCATGCTTTTCAAGGTTGCTCCTCATACCAATGTAAGTTTTGAGTCCTTGGAGAAGAAAATGTCTGGAACCTCCTCCAGAAGAAAACATTAGGGAGGTGTTAAGAGCGGAAGGAAAAAGTAACAATACTTTAAAGTCTCTATTTCAGTTAGGCTTTTAAATCTTTCCTATACATTAAACCAAGGATTTTCTAGCATCTCAACTTCACTTACCATAAGCCACAGTGGAGTCTATGCTTAAATCAATAAACAGAACAATCAGAAACTCTTTCAGCTATCTGAACCAGAATATTGATTATAGAAATAAGAATTTCTAATGAGTGTAGCCGCATCAATACACTCAGTCCAAACTAAAATTATGTGCATCCTTAAAGTGAATTTCATACAGGCAACCCGTTGTTATTGCTGGTATTAAGTAGCAAAGGCTAAAATGTGCTGAAATACGACTCTACTATATGATTGAAGACCATGGGGAGTGAGCCAGGGCATGAAGAGTTGTAGCTTCTCTTTAAGAGATAGTCCCTCAAAAGAGGTCATTCCAGTGTCATCAGGTACCTGCAACAGATACAGGAGAATGTGCTTACCTTGGCTGACAAAGTAGGTTCAGTGGGAGATGGAACATTTAAGTATCTGAGTCTTCTAAATCCAATCACATACCTACATTTCAGTTCTGGGGTCCAGCACTTTTCCAATCAGTCCTAACTCACATAAACCAATTGGTGAGGCTATAATTGATTTATACTGGGAAAACCACATGAGAAATTTTGTGGGATTAAATTAATTAAGAATAATTAATCTTATTTCATGTGTTTATTTATTTATTTATTTATGGCTTTCTCTGTCTTATAGCTGTAAGACAGAGATTCTTTTGTTGTACTCTATAGATACATAGTCACTGAGTTTAAATTTGTACCTTCAGACAAAGTTTTATGAGATTGTACCTGTCATTCTCAGTACCTTTTAGTATTGTAAGACATGGTGACCTACTTGACAATGTCTGAATTTTTATGTTGTCCATTCAGCAGTAGCTATGTGGTTCTCTTAAAGCCTTGCCATTAATAACTCTGTTATTCTACAGTAACTACAAGTAGTGAGAGTTATCACATGAGATAGGCTGTTCAATTTCCACCCCATTATACTTGCTGATTTTGACTGTCTTTAGCAACAGTCTGGCCAGATAAAAAATATTGTATATCCCTGAGGATTAGTTGCTAATGGAAAAATCAAAAGCTCTGTAAAAACTGGAGAAATAAACTTAGAAAACTGGAAAAGTAAAGGGAAATTGCCAGAAGTACAGCTCAAAATGATTCCCTAGAACTGGTGTGTTAGGCCATCATTGGCCTCAAAACTGAACCTTGGATTCTTCAACTGATTCTGTACATTTTGCCTACCATTAACCACCCAGTACTGCTGCCTCTAGAGAGTAATGTGATACAGACATCACTTCTAGGAAGAATTCTGCACAATGCTAGCTCCTCTGTGTCCCTGGACTGTGTGTCTGTATTTATCTGTCTGGTTAGTTGAAACTAAAGCAAGTTTTCTAGTTTTCAGAAAAGCTGAAAAATGGAGGATGAACTTTTATCTTTTATTTTTTAGATAAATTCTTGTAATTTTTTATGCCTGACCACATGTCCTGTCTTTGAACTGCTATTAGGTTTTTAGCTCAGTGCTTGACTCTCAGGCAAATCGAGCAGTAAAATGCACTTCATGAAGATTTTCCTTCACACTGTCTTTCAGAGATGCACATAAATCAAGCCAACGTCTACAGCAGATCATTTTCAACTGTTACCAGAGTTTTAAGCACTTGTAAACTACCTTCAAATATCCTCTTTTCTATGTAATTAACCACAGAGAACTTCCTGTGAGGTATATTTTTCTCAAAAAGAATGAATTTATCTTTACTTATGATTCCCTTATTCTTTTCTTTGTACCTCCTATTATTTGTTTTCACTGCTTAGTCCTCAATTTTTAGGCATTAAAGCTTCTCAAATAGAAATATGTCCTGATTCTTTTCTTCTCATTGATAGCTCATTGTTTGAAAGCTGCTTCAAGTTTCTCATTTCCTTTTTTCATTAAACATTTTCTGCAGTTGTTTTAATCCTTTTATTTATCCTTGAAATTATCTGAGTTTAGGTTTAATGATGGAAACATTAGCAGTCATGGATATAATGATTTAAAATTTTTTAGCAATAGGCCGGGCATTTAGCTTGGTGGTTCCGCTGCCTGCCTGGTAAGCACAAGGATCCAAGTTTGATACCCAGTACCAAAAAAAAAAAATTTAGCAGTAGATTCCTTTCTTCAAATGAAATCCGAATAAGGATAACCGAGGCTGATCTGACAAGCGAGGGTACAGTCTCAGCCCTTTCTCCACTAACTACACCCCTCTTATAATCTATGTATCCCTGCTTGGCTGCTTATATCAGTTAGGGCCCTGGGATTGCAAAGCAACAGAGAGAGTCATTTATTGGAAGGGTATGAAAGTAGCCAAAGAACTGAAGGGAAGGCTAAAAGCAGCTGGAAATCAACTAGCAACGTGAGGACTCAGTAGTGGGAACCATTTGACAGTTTTTAGGGCACTATTGTTAGCTATTTTTTCTGCTTTTGCTCAACATTCTAAGTCATGAAGCAAGTCTCCTTTTTACACATGCCCATCCATTGGTCCAGACACACCATGATTTATGATCTCAACTCAAGAGAATATAACATTGGAGAGGTAATTCTAGTCAACATAATAACTATAAATTGATAGTCTGCGAGACAGATAAGGAAACAATCTGTACAAGAAAGATGGAAAACTCAAGTAGTAAAGAGATTAGTCACAGCCCCAGCCTAGGGGAGTGGAAGGAATACTGTACAAACTGAAATTAATTTCAGCAGAGAGCAGAGACTGACTGCGATTGGATGGAGTGGGGGATGGGAGGTAGGTTAGGAATTAGATGTCATCTATCCAATGAAGGAATTATAATAATAGTTGAGTCAGAGTGGTAGTAAAAATAAAATGGCTAAGAATTACCTAGGAAGAAAAGATAAGGACTGTACAATTTCTCCTCCTATATGAACAGGCTCAGTACACTAACACACAAATCAGATCAAATTATTTCTAGAAATGGCCACTAGATTCTAAGTCCCTACCCAGGATCTCTAGCCACGCCTTGAAATTTTTTGAGTGGAAATGATGAATGTCTTAGCATCTTCAGCATGGTATAAAAATAAGCATAGAAAAAAATGATGAATTTGAATCCTTGGGATCTACATCTTTGTATCAAATTGAGAACACAAAATGCACATTGAAATGGCTTCACTGCGCATTGAAAATAAATAAAAAAGAAAATGTGCAATTTGAGCAATGTATAATCATCTGAATAATGTGTATTACTTTCTTTTAAAATTTGATATTTTAACTCATGATTTCATTTTGAAAAGATTTTTATTGCGATTTTAATTTTAGAAGATACAGTAGTTTTCGACAAGTTTTTTTTTCTGTCATACTGGGAGCCAAACCCAGGGCCTTGAGTATGCTAGGCAAGTTCTTTGGAGCTGAGCTACGTCCTGAGACTGTGACAAGTCTTAACAGTACAACAGTCCCCCCTTATCTTCAGGAGACATGTTCCAAGATCTTAGTGGATGCCTAAAATAGTAGACAGTATCACATCCTTCTTATACTATTTGCCTCTCTACTTACATACCTATGATAAATTTTAACTGATAAGTTTCACACAGAAAGAAATAAATGATAATTACTAATAAAATAAAACAATATTAATATATTATAATAAATCTTAGGAATTATTTATTTCTGGAATTTTTTATTTAATATCTTTGGATTATGTTTGATCACAGGTAACTGAAACTGCAGAAAGGGAAATCAGAGATGAGGGGAGACTACTGTATTTGTAAATTTAATCTGAATCATTAAATCTTTAGTGTTAGGTTATAAGTATCATTTAAGTACTTAAGAGAATTTTTATGTTGAATTTATAATTCTACCTCCTTATCTGTTTGAAATACATTAGAAAACCAGATATATTCAGTATTTACTTGAAGCTGAAATTTTTCAGTTAAATAAACCAATCTCACAAAGACTTGAATATTTAGGAGAACATATAAAGGGTGAATTTAATATAAAATGTGCAAAACAATTTATACACTAAAATTGTATATAAATATTTGGAGAGATCAACTATCCTAAATTTAGAAACTAATTGAGTACAAATTAACATCATCAGATGTGTTAGTGGATTTACTTGATATATAAGTTTTACCTACAGCCTACATTTAAAATTTTAATGTATATATTTTTGTAAAATTTTAATATATTAATAAAAACAAATGTAGATGTTAGGATCTCTTTTTGTAGACAAAAGCTATCTCTTGGCAGATAAAACTTCATATGGATATCAGTGAAAAGCTGATTAATACAGCAGGTATTTGCGATAGTCTCAGAAAGCTAACTAACATGGAAATTAGGAACTAAAGACATAGTCTTTGTGATTGAGATTAGTGCCCTTATAAAACAGGCCACAGAGAATGCGCTAGCCAGTTTCACCATTCAATGGCACAGTGAGAAGGTGCCATCTATGAGGAATTTAACCATACTAGACACTGAATCTGCAGGTCCTTGATCTTGGACTTCCCAGCCCCCAAAACTATGAGAAATGTTTGTTCATTGTTTATGTTACCAATTTTGTGGTATTTTAGTATAACACCACCAACAGAGTAAGAAAGTAGAAGTAGGAATTTGTTGAATCTGTTATAATTAATATGAATAGATTGACTGCATCTATGATCCTAATTTTTTTTTTTTGGTACCGGGAATCAAACTTGGGACCTTGCACTTGCAAGGCAGGCACCGGAACCACTGAGATAAATCCCCAGCCCCATGATCCTAATTTTTAAAATGCCATATTCTAAACCAAAGTGAGAACATAGCATTTCCATTTGTATTATTGTCTTCACCCTTCAATCAGTTTCTCAGAGAAGAAACATTTGCATTTCACTCATCTCATTTCTTCCTTTACTTTCCCTAGTATGATTTAGATTTTAAATGTTCCCACAGTCTCGTGTGTTGAAAGCTTGGTCCCCAACTGGTGATGCTATTCTGAGGTGTTAGGACCATTAGGAGGTGGGGCCTAGTGGAAGGAAATTAAGTCACTGAGGTGTGCCCTTGAGTGCATAGTAGACTCCAGTCTGTCTGTCTGTCTGTCTCTTTCCCTCTCTCTCTCTCATTCTCCTTCTCTATCTCTCTCTTTCTACTTCCTAGGGGACATGAGGTATACAGATTTCTGTTACCATGTGCTCTTCACCATGATGTTGCTGCCTCACCACAGGCTCAAAGCAATGGAGTCAGTCAACTATATGAAACCTCTGACACCGTGAGCCAAAATAAATTTTCCCCCTTTTAATTTGATTTTCTTGTTTTGTTAGTGACAGAAAGCTGAGTAACACACCTAGTAATGAATGATTTTTTGAGTCCTTGCAAATCCTACTTCCACAATATCTATGCATCTATCTTCTCCTTCTAATTTCCATTGGTGTCTCCTTTATTTGTGTCTTGA